AATTATCATATCTATATTATATTTTAGTTATTGATTTGTATCCCTCAATAGTTAGTTATAATATAAGTAACCAATGCTAGAGTAATTTAAATTAATTAAATTAATGTAATGTAATACGTTGTTGAAAAGATTGTGTGGATATTAGCCTTAGTGATATACATTGTTAGAAATTTACAAATATGTATAATACAATGAAAAATAATGTGGAGTCTTATGCACAAAACACTTAGGCAAAAATTATAATGTGTTTATATCCAAACTGGCAAGCTCTGTGTAATGATTAACTATACAATGATTGATCTTAATATAATGTCACAATCTGTTCTATAATCTTTTTACATCATTATTCAATAATATTCATTAGCAACAATTAACAAATCTTTTATGTACTAATAATAAAAAAAATTATGAGTGCACGTAGTAGAACATAAAATCCCAGGCTTTCGAGTATTTAAAATGTGAAAACTGGCCATACAGAATGACCACTTACGGGTAATACTAATACCATGAACTAAGATAATATGGACTGGTGGGTACATGATGGCGGGTGGTAGTGTTGCAGTCAGGTTTAAAACGTAGTTTCCGTAGTAGATTAAACGTAGTTCTTGCAACAGAAGCGATCGTAGTGTAGTGTTATTTTCATGAGCTACCAGAAATCAACTATTCAACTTTGTAATAATATTTTAGCACTTCAATGAGATAATGTTCCTTTGCTAGATAGACCCCATAAGATGGTATTAATTTCATTATGAGTTAAAAAATATCAAAGTATTCGACTCCATTCTTTTGGCAAAATGTTTTCAACAGAAATTTTAAATCCTGTTAGAAAAAGACAAATAAACAAATAATTTTTATGAACCAGTAGTAGGTATAAAATATTATATGTGTATAGACTATAGGTACCAGTTTTATTTTAAATATTTGTATTATTATTAAATTAAGGGAGATAAGCAGTTGTGTGATAATTATAGAGGTATCGCTCTATTAAATGTTACCTATAAAGCGCTATCCAAATGTATATTAGACAGAATTAAGCCGTGGGCAGAAGATATTTTAGGAGATTATCAAGCAGGGTTTAGACAAAATAGATCTACCACAGATCAGATATTTATTTTGAAACAAATTTTCCAAAAAATGTGGGAGTTTGACAGGGAAGTACATGTACTGTTTATTGATTTCATGAAGGCCTATGATTGCATACATAGAGAATCTCTGTTGAATGTACTAAGACAGTTCAAATTGCCCCAGAAATTAATTAATCTGATAAAAGCAAACATCCTACACACGGAAATCAAAATTAAAGTGGGCAATATTGTATCACAAGGGATACCAGTATCGACTGGTTTGAGACAAGGGGACGCTATGTCACCCATACTATTTAATTTAGCGTTAGAAAAGGTCATCAGGGAGAGTCGGATTGAAGAAAACGGAGTACGATTGGGAGATTGCATAATAGGAGTATTGGCCTACGCGGACGACATAGTGTTACTTGCGGAAAATAAGGAAAATCTCAGGGAGCAAGCGGGAAAACTATTAGACACGGCAAAAAGAATAGGTTTAGAAATAAATGCTAAAAAAACTGAATACATGATCGTGCAGAGAAGAGAGCTCGCGGATCATGATCACCCATTTTTAGAAGTTGGGCAATACAAGTTTCAGAGAGTGCAGGAGTTCAAATATCTGGGATCGATAATGACACAAAAACGATGAACTTAATGAAATAAAAGCAAGACTCCAATCCGGTAATAAGTGTTACTACGGTCTAAGTAATTTGTTAAAGGCGAGGACGATATCGATGAACCTCAAGATACAACTGTATCGCACCCTCATCCGTCCAGTGGTAATGTATGGTTGTGAAGTATGGACATTACGGAAATCAGATCAAAACAGACTACTGATATTCGAAAGAAAAATATTAAGACGAATCTTCGGACCGTGTATAGATGAGACCACAGGGGAATGGAGAATTCAAAAAAACGAGGAGCTCAAACAGTTGTACCAAATGTCTGATATAATTAGAGAAATTAAAAAAAAGAGACTCCAATGGGCAGGACATGCATGGAGAAAGGAAGGAACTCTAATTCAAATGGTTCAATGTGGGACTCCCCAAGGAAAGAGACCCTTGGGACGACCTCGACTAAGATGGGAAGACCAAGTCAGGAAGGACGTACAAGTGACAGACCCAAGTGCCGATTGGAAGGTCTTAGCGTTGTATAGAGTGAAATGGCAAGATATATGTTTGAATGTATGATCTTAATGGTCTAGTACAGACAAGAAGAAGAATTATTAAATTAATTAATATACTAGTTTTGTTTTATTTACTTGAAATATTTTATATTTATGACTATAATATGTAGCACTAGTATAGATACAAGTTTTGTTTTATTAATTTTAAATATTTTATGATTATTATTATACAAGGTACTATACCGATTTTATTCATTTGAAATATTTTAAGATTATTATTATAGGTACTAGGTTGTATACCAGTTTTGTTTTTTTTTTTTTTTTTTTTTTTAAACATTTATTATATTATTATTAAATTAGGTAGTTTACCAGTTTTATTTTCTTGATTTTAAATATTTTATTATTATTATTATTATTTTTATACTAGGTATACTACTAGTAGATAGGTAGGTACCAGTTTTATTTTGTTTTTTTTTTAAAAATTGTAATATTCATTAAAAAATGTAGTATACCAGTTTTGTTTTATTGATTTTAAATATAGTTTTTCAAAAATAATAAATGGATGTAAAATTTTTACTTAATTAATTCAGATTGTTTTTAAAAATATTTTACAATGGAACAAATTTTTATAAAATAATGTAATATTCACATGCACTACTTAATACATCGATAATAATAATTAATTGGTCTACGTATTATAGGTCTCAATCGGAAGATAAATCTGAAAATATCTTAGAAAAAAATGAAGGATATAAAAATATTAAAACTCACTCTGAGCTTATGACAGGAAATCAAAATGTTAAATTAGATAAAAGCCAATTTATTTTTAATTATTTGAAATATGCACCGATGACAAGTGTAGACGTTGAATTAAATTTTTGTTATATAGACAAACATATTTTAAGTCACTGACGACACATTTTACAAAATCACAATTTTGATATGTATATTATCATAAATTTTAACTTTCAAAAATAATATTATATTTTAATACCTACTTTATTTGATATATATTTTTTTTATTATTTTATAATACTGTAATTTGTTAATGTCCATCATGTTATCTAAATAAGTACCTCATGAATTATAATAATAATGCGAACAACAAAACAACATTATTATTAGAACCGCTAATGCTTACTGAATCATTTTGGAATGTGATTAAGTAACATGGGAAAGGTAATCGTATTATAATACGATTATAATATCTTTTTATGTATTAATATTGTAAAAAATGTAATTTTTGAGATTAAAAAAAAATTATGTTTTTATATTATCAAAATTATTGTTTGATGTGATGAAAATATTTTAATGTGCCATTGATTGTAATTTGAGGATACATTTTTCTATAAAGGTATGTAAAAAATGTATTTATTAATGATTGAAAGGTTTATTACATTATATGAACATTTAACAGATGATTTAAGTAAACTGTTTTTCAAAAATATTTTACTTAAACAAAAATATCCAAGTGAATCGCTGAGTGAAGTCCGGATCTCCTGACTGGATCTATTCTCTCCGCCGTATTCGCCCCCAACACTCTACCCTGCCGCAGCTGATATACGCTGCGGTAAAGCTATCTGTCATGCGAACGTTTCGATCAGTTTTCGTGCGCCGCCCGGTGTGCTCTTATTTGGTACAGAGTATAAATTCATTTTTTTTCTAACCTACAAAGGTAATATTATTTCATGTAATTATCAACTTTATTAATTAGTATTTTCTTATATAGCATTTATTCAACCATGAACAAACTATAGAAATTACATAATATTAATGTAATCAAAATATAAATTGTGTTGAGTACCATTGTACCGAAAAAACATACATATGATAATATATTTACCATATGTTTATACATTTTCAAAATTACCCACCATAAACTGGATTTTGAATGGTATATTTTATATTTTAATTCTGATTTATTAATTTTGTTAAAGAAGAGCAACATGCATCACAGAACCACTGCTTCCACCTATATGACCTATATGCTAGTATCGTCTTTATTGTGGGCTTTTTTATATATCATAGGTATTTACCACAAAACAATCCTTCTTCGAGTGACAATCTTCTAGCCATGGGAAAAGAGTGTTTATCATCAGTCTTAAGCCATTCAACTACAACTGATCTATCTGTAACAAAAAAATAGTATGAAACAAACTGATTAGTGACTGAATATAGAATATATTTATATATACACAGGCATGACATGGTATCCCTGAATAGATGACTTAACACTTAGTAGATAGTTGTATTAATTATAAATCATTTTAGCTGTTATGAAAAAATATAGGGTTTATATTTTTTTCAATGAAATATAATATATTCAGTAATATTGGGAGTTGTGATGATATCATATATTTAATTTCAATATATTATCATTTAACTTGGTTTATAATCTATACCAGCGGTTCTCAACCTGTGGTACGCGTACCACTAGTGGTACGCGGAGAGCTCATAGGTGGTACGCGAAGAAAATCTTCCTTTATAAAAAAAATTTGGTACGAATTATTATTAACATTAAATATTATTTGGTTTATTTAATGTTTATTTGATGGTGTGGAGGTCGTTTGTAATCGTTGCAATTAAGATAACGATATTCTCTTTAATATAATATAAATCGATAAACTTTATCGGATAAGCCCGACAAAGCGTATTCTTATTTCACAATTATGTGTTTTTACCTTAGTTTCGTGAGTTCCTTCGGTTTATTCACGAGTGGCATACGCGTTGTTTGCATCAAGTGTATTTTATATTAAAATTTTATATTTTTATGTAGTTTTTTCGTACTTTTTTTTGATATAAAATTTAGTAAAATGAAAAGATTTTTAGAAAGCGAAAGCGCAAATACTAAAAAACACAAAACACAGGCAAATCGTAAAATATATGACGATAGTTACTTACAATTTGGATTCGTTGTAAAATTTGGTTCTGAAAATTCTACTCCGTTACCTCAATGTGTAATTTGTCAAGAAACACTTTCAAATCAAAGCATGAAGCCATCGCTACTTAAGCGCCACCAATTATCGAAGCATCCAGAAACAGAAAATAAACCCATTGAATTTTTTCAGAGAAAATTAACTGCATTCCGAAAGGAATCGAAATGCATGTCTAGTTTTACAAACTTTAATGAAAATATCGTTAAAGCATCTTATTTAGCGAGTTTAATTATTGCTAAAGATGGAAAACCACACACAATTGGGGAAACACTAGTGTTGCCAGCAGCAAAAGAAATCGTGCGATGTGTTCTTGGAGACAAGGCTGCAAAAGAGATTGAAAAAGTGTCACTTTCAAACGATACTGTCAAAAGAAGAATTGATGACATGTCGTCAAATATAAAAAATAAATTATTGCTTTATTTGAAAGATTGTAATTTCTTTGCTCTACAAATTGATGAGAGTACTGATATTACTAACATGGCTCAATTAATGGTATTTATACGTTTTGATCGCAATGATGAAATTATTGAAGAGTTTTTGTTTTGTAAGCCTTTACAAACCCACACAACATCTGAAATTATTTTTACCACCATTAACGAATATTTGATTGAAATAAATCTGCCGTGGAGTAAATGTGTGGGTTTTTGTTCTGAATGAGCAAGGGCAATGACTGGAAGGCTGAGCGGAGTTGCAACAAGAATAAAAAAAGTTGCCCCATTATGTAAAACTATGCATTGCCTGATTCACCGGCAAGCATTAGCATCTAAAAACATGCCTAAAAGTTTAAAATTAGTTCTTGATAGTGCTGTAAAAATCGTAAATCTAATCAAAGCCAGACCTCTCAATTCAAGACTATTCACAGTATTATGTAATGAAATGGGCAGTACTCATAAATCCCTTCTTCTCCACACAGAGGTAAGGTGGCTTTCACGAGGAAAAGTCCTCACCAGGCTATTCGAGCTAAGGTCAGAAATTTTATTACTTCTGACTGATATTGATGAAGAAAAGTCCAAATTGTTTTGTGATGACGAATGGCCGTCAAGACTAGCTTACATGGCTGACATATTTGATCGTTTAAATATTTTAAATTTAAGTCTGCAAGGTTCAAACACAAACATGTTTTATGCTAGTGATAAAGTTAATGCATTTGTGAGAAAGTTGGATTTATTTATTTCTCAAGTATCTAAGAATGATCTTTCAGCATTCGAGACACTAAACACATTTTGGAAAAATAACGAAATTCAGCCAAATTCAAATATAATTACAGACATTTCGGAACACTTGCAATTACTAAAATCCAATATTTTACAATATTTTCCAGAGGATAACTCAGAAATGAAATGGATCATAAACCCTTTCGAAGATGATTATATTAAAAACATTCCAGAAGGTATTTTGGCAAAAGAATTATTTATTGACTTAACCAGTGACTCTACCCTAAAAACCGCTTTCAAAACCAAAAATATCACTAATTTTTGGCTGGACGTGAAACAAGAATACTCGGCATTGTCCACACAAGCTTTACAGTTTCTAATCCCTTTTGTATCAACATATCTGTGTGAAAATACATTTTCTCACTTATTGTACACAAAAAATAAATATAGAAGTAGATTAAACGTAGAAAATAATTTAAGACTTAAAGTTAGCAATTTGGAGCCCGATATTGACGTCATTGTCCGTTCAAAACAACACCAATCGTCTCATTGAAATAAAAAGTAAACCATAATAATTATAATAATTTTACATATTTAATTTTTTTTATATTTTCAAGTTTTTTTCTTTCTGTGCATTACTCAATTAAATACTTTATTTTTTATTATATATTTTTATATTTTATATTATCTCATTTTGTAATTCCTAATGAAATAAAATTCTATAGATACATATAACATAAACGTATACATTATTAATAAGCAAAAAAAAAAATGGTCAGGTGGTACGTAAAAATTTTCAAATTGTGTAAGTGGTACGCGACTATAAAAAGGTTGAGAACCGCTGATCTATACTCTATGTCACAGCTATAAATACTATTTCAGACGGCAGTCACAAGTCTACTGTGCCCATGTCAACCATGTGTATGGTAAACAATTGTTTGCACTTGTCAGCACGAATTAAACTGTGATGCGAGACACGGGATGTTGTCATCAGTAACAATGGAAGAGCTAATTCCAAACTAAATTTGGTAAAAACAAAATTTAAAATATGCATGTAACATGCGAGTATGTTTGTAATGAAGATTATCTTTATCGAGCGAGAATTAGCATTGCAGATAAATCCTGAATATTATGTTATTGATGTGTTTAAGAGCGTACGGCGTACATCCATTTGACCAGAGCTTAGAATTTTTTATAGTCATGAATTATAATACCTAATTAAAAGATAAAACTATATTCTTACATTTTACGTGTGGGTACATGTTCAAATTTTTTTTAATTAAATATAGAAAAAGAAATTTATAAAAAGGAAATTAAGATTCATGCATGTTTGAGAAGAATTATTTATGCAACGAATTAAGAGTTATGGAAAAGTTATTTTTGTGTAACTATTGAGCTATTTATAAAATCTAGAATTTACTGCGAGAACATTTGTGGTACACCTATGTTAATATAATATATCAGTCATTATTTAATAGTTATAATTATTACCCAATACTATTGGCACAAAATCATATATCTGTAAATCTGTTTCATTAAGACTTTCAGGCAGTGCCAAGATGCTGCCACAAGGATCAGCAGCTATTATGCGACATTTATCTCCAAGTGCTTGTTTCAACTTCCGGCTAATGCCTGTAATTGTACCACCTGTACCAGTACCAGCCGCTACTGCATCTACTTTATAATTTGTTTGTGCCACAAAATGTTTCAGTGGATTATATTTGTTACGATACTAAAAACAAAAACAGTCATTAGTTGGTTATCAACAAATTTGTCACATTGTCTTACCCGTTCAAGTATTATGGTATTTTCAGGATCTTTCAAATGTAACTTATGTGTTATACGTATCAAACTATCAAATTTATTAAAAGCAGCTGATGTAGGTGTACGCACAATTGTTGCACCTAGCAATCGTAGAGTATCTACCTTTTTCACGTGACATTTTCATTGGCATCACTATTATGCAACCATATCCCTAAACCGAAGCAGCCATGGCTAATCCAATTCCTATAATAAAATATCGGTAAGTGCATACATGTGTACAATAAAACTTAAAAGTACTAATTAATCAAATACCCGAGTTTCCTGACGATGGTTAAATTATTGTAATTCCAGATGTTAGCAATCCTTGGCGTTCAGCATATTCAACCTTTTTCCATCCTATTCTATCCTTAGTACTACCACCGGGATTCAAAAATTCACATTTTGCACAATATGTTGTATTTATAAGTGCTTACAAATCTCGAATTCAATACCCTCTGCTCGAGGTATTCGATTCAACTTCACCAATGGTGTATTGCCAATGGCATGCAATATATTTGGTAAAATTTCATTTTTATTATTTCTGAAAATTCAAAAATTGTAAAAGTGCACTAAATTATAAATAATATTATACATTATACATTACTTGCACATTTTCATTGTGAATATGAGGTGTATCTTTCACGCATGAATCTTTTGTCCAAGTGCACTGCCTATCTGTATCTGGTCTGAATTTTTTGAAATACGCATCGATATCGTAACCAAAACAGCCGTCTTTGCATTTCACTTCTTCGATCTCCGCTTTCTTCGCCATTCCTACAGCTGGATCTGCCATCGTAACGCTACAATCAAAACCACAATATAACCTTGTTTAATTCGGTACCCACTTGCCACAATAATAAGCATAAATTAGATTCTCACTAATCAATCTAATTACCTTATTAACCAATTACTCGTTGAACAGTAGGTACAATTTTTATGGTACGAAAACTATAAAATTAACGTATCATAAAATGGTAATGAACGTTCAGTCCACGTTTGAACTTAAATCGATTAAACGGTTTTAATTAAATAATAACAGACAACCTCCTGCCGGCTACCGACCGTAAATCTCAGTTTAAATAAACTAAGATGAAGTGCCAAACGTTGAAGCATGACGAAATATTGCAACATAAGTGCCAAGAAGCAAGATATCATGGTCCGTGATAAGGTCACGACTACCGCTGACCAACTTACCTACAATGGGCAACAAGTATTTTTATGATAACAAGACATAGGTACGATGATAAAATATACTATAATGAGAAATTCATTTATACTTATTTTATTCATGAAATATCATAAAAATTACAATTCACAATAATTTATTATTTCCGTTTAGTTAAGGTTCTATTAAAAAAAAAACAACAGACAATTCCATTTAAAAATGTATTTTATATCCTAAAATATTAATTACTTTACCTACCACTAAAAATATTTATACCTATTATTCATTTATTTACATTCATTCAACTATTAACACAATTTAAAAATTTGATTTATATTAGTAGGTATTTATTGACTGGTCGTGTATTTATATTTTATAATGCAGTACCTATTTAAAATACTTTATTCGGAATACTATTTTTATGAAGTATTTGAATATAATATGTTCTGAATACTATTTTTCATAAGTAGGTATTAAGGTATTTATTCCAAATACTTTTTAAAAGTATTTTACCAAAGTCTGCGTACCTATTTGAAATTGAGAATGATAACAGATTTATGTATTATATTATATAGTGCCTACTCACTTTTCCACTTTTTCCCTTTTTAACTGGTGATGGGCCATATTCAGCATTATCCTCACTAGAAGTGTCTGCCATGTCGGATAAATAATTCACAAAATACTATGAAAAAAAAACAACAGAAAATATCGGAGGGTGTTTTGGTATGTTGTGGAACGAACGCGTAAACCACTTGTGGCATAGACGCATGTGATATTATTATAGTAAGTTCACTACGTATACGTCTGCGGAATATCGGCGGCGGCGGCGCTGCCTACATCAACGCCAGCTGGTGGCAACAAAAATACGCGAACGAGACGAGTTTTCGTCAAGCGAGTGGGAATTCTTATTCTGAATAGAGTATACATAGGTACCATGGTTGGGTAATTATACTTTTTTTTATTTTCGAACTTGCCATTAAATGATGAAATGATATAGATACATATTATGAGCATAACTGCATAAGGCTATTTATTTGTCAAATCGGTCAATAACGATCATTAAATTTTATCTGTAGACATTAATATATACCTATATAATACACTGTTCATTTTTGTGTCGGTGTAGGTACCTACACTATAAGTAAGTAGTCAAAATAATGCTTCGATTTTCAACTTCAGTACCGTAAGAGCGGGATACTTTACTCCAGGAGTTAAACATTGCTCCAAAAAAATTTTTTATTGATATCAATCGTAGCACATTACGATTTTGAGATCAGAGATTGTAGTTTTTTTTATATTATTCTTATTAACATTACTAATTTTTTCAAACATTACGGACATGAATCTATGAGTTTTCCTCCAAGATTTATATCATGTAAAAAATGGTTTTCAAAAACACAAAAATACATAACGGAAAAGTTATCCAAAATCTAGGGGATTGAAATTTAATTTAAAATGTATTGAAAAAAGACTTTTAATCAACTAAAAAAAAAAAAAAAAATATATTATTAAATTATATTAAGTATAGGTTCAAATAAGTTAAAACACAAGCACTAAACATTGCACCAATAGTTATTATATGCATTAAAGTAAGGTAATTTTAATCATTGTGCAATGTAACCTGCAATGTATTTTAACTTTGCTCCAAACTTTTGGGAATAAGTAAGTAAGTCACTAGTACGACATTCGGATTTTTTTGAATTTTTCTTACCTCTTAACATCTATACATATAAAACAACGCGAACAGGTAATTTTTATCTTTGTTATTGAAGCTATAGTATAGGTTCAAACTAAAAAAGAAATATATTTGGAGCAAAGTATCCCGCTCTTACGGTACCTATCTTGTTTGATGGGATTTGGGATAGTGAATCTAGTTGGTGCGTTCGCGAGGTTTAAATACCTAGTACATAGTTTTCAAAAGTGCCCTGGGGAAAAAAAAATTACGGAAAAACGGTAATTTTTGCTCAAAAATTGTCGGTTTTTGACAAACTCGATTTTGGTTTTTGGTGTAACTCCAGAACAAATGACCGTAGAAATGATAATAAAATATTCACTGAATGTTTATATTTGGATTTTCTATACACCATAACATTTTCAAAATATTTTTACTTATTTTGAGCTGTTTACGGGCATTTTAAATTTCCAATTTGGACGAAATTACATATTAAATAACCAAGAATAATAATTTTAGTTGGGTATTTTATTGTACCTATCTCAAAAATTTTATAATAAATATCACTTTGTATTACAGAGTCTGTATACACTATGATATGTACGTTACATTTAAAAGTGTTTAATACCTACCTCTGACCATTGATAGGTAGTAACTAGTAGGTACTTATACGTACATAATATCAAATATCAATATTATATTCTTTGTCAATTATTTCAACTTGTTAGTTCTATAAATACTAAATAGGTTAGGTATTTGACTTTAATCTTAATCAAACAAAAATCATTAACTATCTAGTCTACATAAAACCGGATAAAAGCAATATTATTAAATATATTTGAGTACAAATATATTATGTTCGGATGCAATTCACAGGTAGGGATACTCACAATATTTACAATTTTTTTTCACATTATGTTTTTGTGATATTTTTCTGTATATCGCTGTAAGTATCAACTCCAAGCATAAAACAGTCAATTTTGGGGAGTTACTAAGGCTTGAAAATGTAAAACGATATTCCTCATCATAAATAATTTTAAATTTTGAGTTTAAACTGTAATTTAAAAAGAAAAAATTAATTTAAACCAAATACATTGTCTTATGTGCCTATGGCTAAAGTTTAAATTGATGACCATTGGATATTCAAGAATGTATACTAACAATTTATCTTTAAATAGATAATAATATAACTAAAGACCTGTAGTTACCTACTCGCTATAACACAATATTTTGTATAATACATTATTTATTTTAAAAGACTATAGTCAAATTTAAAATGTCTATAGACAATTTACTTTAGACTTTGGTCTACTAAATATTAATAAAGCGACAGTTTAAATAATATGCATATTAGCTACCTACGTAAATATATAGGTATTATTTTAAATTGTACTTTTTTTTCATCATTATTATTTCATTATATTTAATGTCATATTATTATATTTTTATACAGTTAGCATCAGTTACAGTGGTATTATTTTAAAGTTGTATCTTATTTGTTTACATGAATTCTTAAATATTATATTATCAAACATTTTATGGTATAATTTGATCGATGGTAAGCATCGACGAGGGTTGGTTTTAACTGAACTAAGTGTTTATATAGGTACCTGTTGAAAAATGAATTATTATATAATTATTAGTTATGCTGAATAGATACATTTTACAAGGATTATATTCTATTAATTAAATCAAGTACCTACGAAGTACTATGTTTATATCATGGCAATAAGAAATTAATAACAAGGAAGGTAAGACAATAACAATAGTAAAAATGTACCATAATATCTTAAACTGATGTCTAAAAAAAGATATAAAACAGTTGTAATTTACTATTAACTAACATGTTTTAAAAATAGCCGAAATTAACTATTTACCACTGATTATAGTTGTGTACATTTTTTTTTAGATAATATAACCATGACTTCTAAAGTTGAGGTTGAATAACAGACAATAAGTATATTCTAAATAATTCAACACAATATATAGAAACTTAAAGCACTAAATTATGCAAATCAAAAAGAAAATCATTAGGTATTAAAATTAAATACATAAATCAAATTCTGTTGTCTCCAGTTTCTAATTATTTTAAGTGGAGGGAAAAACAACATAAAAATTAAAGAAAAACGGGCATTTTAAGCAAAATCGGTTTTTGACAAAATCGATTTTTGTTTTTGACGTAACTCTAAAACAAATAACCGTAGTTACATGAAAATTTTACTGAACATTTATATGAGTAGGTATTTTATATAGGTTCACCATAAAATATTCAAAATATTTTGACTTGTTTTGAACTTTTTACGGATTACGAAAGCGTGCAAATTATTTTGAGTTAGAAATTAATAAAAATGTTTGTTTTTAAATCTAAGATTTTAAAATATAATACAAGATTTGTTATAAGGTTATCTATCATTATCAAAAAAAAAAAAAATATCTATAAGAAAGTCAAATTAGATTTTTATGAGTGTTTGACTTTGTACAACATTGGAATATCACTCAAAATAGAATTAGAGTGAATTGACCTATTATAAAACTTAATTAACAATTATTATCTGTGTTTGAATGAGGGCATTTTACAATGATTCAGTTTTTAGTGAGTTATGACTTATGAGCATTTTTAATTTACGCTAATATTACATATATATACGCAAAACATGCTAAATAATTTAACTATTATAAAAAGCACACATACAAATACGAATAATGTTCTTACCATCATGGCTCATAAGAAGTCGATTCACTCTAATTTTTAAACCAACGGACAGCTATATACGTGATTTACTGAGCGTAAATTTGCTATAATATGTTATAAGCCCTTGTAAAACGGAGACAACAAATTACCGTGTGCCAATATAGAAATGGCGAACCCAAATGTATGGACAACCCCCTTGGCTTATGTCATAGTTTTATTTTTAAAAGTTTACCTAAAATGTTTGTTAACACGTATTGATTAGAT